GAGGGCCCCTGCCCCTGGAGGGGGGCTGTGCTGGTGAGACCTCCCCCTGCCCCATCCCACTGCCGGGCCTGGGCTCCACTGGGCCTGCACTTGTGTTGAAACTCCCGTGGGATGGGCCCTGGCCACCCCCTTCCCCTGGGTCTCTGCTGCCACGTGCTCAGTTAAAGGGCCCGCGTGCCAATTTGCCTTCCTCTCTTTCCCCCAGGCGGAGAGCAGAGACCTGGGACCTGTCAGGGGGCCCGACCTGTGGAGGAGAGAAAATTAAATTGAGCTGCTTGGGTTTGCCGGCGTCCAGTGGAACGCAGGGAGGTGTCTGGCCAGAGGGTCCAGGCACCGTTCACGGCTGCCACCCGGCTTCTCTTAGCACATGGGCACCCCCCTTGTGTGATGCCCTGGGAACCCCTCCTCTCTGGGCACTGAGGAGGGAACCCAGGAGTCCTGGCTCCTGCCCCACTCTGATCACCAGACCCCGTTCCCTTCGGGGAGCTGGGATTAGAACCCAGGAGTCCTGGCTCCCAGTGCCTGCCCCTCTCTAAACACCATCCCTTGCCTGTGCCCTGCTCCCTGCACACAGCGCCCCCTAGTGCTGCCCTGCCAGCACTGACTGCCGGGTTTCCTGCACCTTCAGCTGGTACTTTCACGGACAGGGGCGCCCCTCTGCACTGACTAAGGGTACGTCTACCCTGCAGGGGAAGATCGAAGTGGCCGCTGTCCATCTTGCAGGGTTCGAATTAGCGGTCGAGTGAAGACAGCTCCAAAAACCGAGTTAAGCAACGTCGACTTCAGCGACGCCATTAACGTGCTCGAGGTTGCGCCTCTTAACTTTGTCCCGCAGTGTAGACGTACCCTTGGGGTTTAGGGTGAGACGGGGCCATCTGATCCTCTAGGATAGGATGGAAGGGGAGTGAGGGGACGTGGGGCAGAGGGTCCAGGCTGGGAAGGAGGATCCTGCCATGCCCCCTCCAGCCCCTCTCACCTACACCCCTGCCCTGCCCTCCTGGTTCTGCCGGCCTGATTTCCTGTGGATCCCAGGCTGGAGAATTGCACCTGCCTGTTCCCGGATCCAGCTCCGAGCTGGAGCATCGTTTAAAAAAGCAGCAAGTCTTGATGGAAAGACTCCACATTGTCAGAAGCCATCGTCCAGGTCAGTTGCTCCTTTGGCTAATTCCCATCCCTGGCAGACACGTGCCCCATATTTGTCATCTGGATCTCACCGGCGCCTTTTCCACTGGACCCCAGAGCCTGCTACCAGCCCAATCAGAAATCTCCTCTCGCCGCCAGCTGGAGCCCGGGATCAAGTCCCCAATTAACCTTCTCTTGGTTCAGCTTCTTGGGCCTGTCTCTCGGGGAGCCATGTCGAGAGCGACACGTTCTCCTAGCGCCTTTCTGCAGCCGACGCAGTGGCTCCGGGGCCTTTATGGACGTGGAACAGGACGTGGCATCCCAGTAATTGTCTCTCCTAAGGACCCGGACAGCAAGATTCCCAGTGACCCCAGCAATATTCAAACCTTCCCAGCGGCCGCAGTGAGAGGGCTGTGTATGTTCCATCCGTGTTGGACTGCTTCCGCCCCAGCGGGAAACGCTTCCCGGGCCCAGCTGCAGACAGATGTTGCCTTGCAGTCCTCGTGGCTGAGCCCTGCTTATTTGCTGGCGATCTCTCCTTTCCCCCGTCCTCAGTTTCCTTCCCGGGGCCTGCCCGACCCATCGTCCCCCAGGAGTTATTGACCGGACTCTCCCCCCGACGCGATCCCGGGCTCCTTGATAGATTTTCGATAGTTGCAATGTTATTGCTGCTTCGCTGCGGCATTTTCTGCTCTACTAACTTACGCCGGGTTGGGTCTAGAAGTCGCAGGTGAATGGTCACTACAGGAAAAGCACCGTGGCCGCTGTGTGGCGTTGAGTAAACCTGCCCTGAGACTGCCGGGCAGGTGGAACAGGTCTCCTGGGGTGGCCTCCTGCAGGTGTGTTGTTGCACTGTGGCTCCCTGCCGGACGGTGCCTGGTGACATCTCAACAACACTAACTTACGCCGGGTTGGGTCTAGAAGTCGCAGGTGAATGGTCACTACAGGAAAAGCACCGTGGCCGCTGTGTGGCGTTGAGTAAACCTGCCCTGAGACTGCCGGGCAGGTGGAACAGGTCTCCTGGGGTGGCCTCCTGCAGGTGTGTTGTTGCACTGTGGCTCCCTGCCGGACGGTGCCTGGTGACATCTCAACAACACTCCCCCCAGCCCCTGGGGTTGGTCACCTCCCTTGTCATTGTATCGGGGGG